GGGGGGCTTCTTAAGGGCTTCTCGGGCGTTACGCAACTCACTCGTAAATCCAACCAGCCGTCTAGGGCGTAGGCGGAGGAGGAGGAGAAGGAGGAGGAGGAGGAGGAGGAGGAGGAAGATGAGGAGGACGGGGATAAGGGGGAGAAGGAGAGGGCTGAGGAGGAGAAGGAGTTGGAAGAGGTGGGCGAGGAAGGAGGGCGAGGACCAGCCGAATAGCCAGAGGCATATTGAACGCCTCTCGGATGTCTCGTGGACGCCTGTTGGACGTTGTTTGTGGTTTCTGGGGGGGGGGGTACCTTGGCGGTCGAGGGAGGCTCTTGGGCGTCTTGGGCGCCTCGGGGAGGGGGGGAGCTCTTGGGGCCGCTTGGGAACACCCACCCCCCCACTACAGGTTACGGCGAGTGACCCCCCTGTGGACTCCAAGGGTTCACTATGACGTAGTAGCGCTTTTGCGGACCCCCTAAAGAGCGCCCGTAGCAGTTCAGTGTTGGCTATTCCAACAACGCCCCCCCAATTCCTGTCATCCTCCCTTGGTGTGGCCATCGGAACCCGAGGGGCCAGAATCCTATGGGCCAGAACCCGATGGGCCTGAACCCTATGGGCCAGAACCCCATGGGCCAGAACCCTATGGGCCAGGAGCCTATGGGCCAGAACCCTACGGGCCAGAACCCTATGGGCCAGAACCCTATGGGCCAGAACCCTATGGGCCAGAAGCCTATGGGCCAGAACCCTATGGGCCAGAACCCTATGGGCCAGAACCACATGGGCCAGAACCCTACGGGCCAGAACCCTATGGGCCAGAACCTTATGGGCCAGAACCCTATGGGCCAGAATCCTATGGGCCAGAACCCTATGGGCCAGAACCCTATGGGCCAGTACCCTATGGCCCCTATGGGCCAGAACCCTATGGGCCAGAACCCGATGGGCCATGGGCCAGAACCCCATGGGCCAGAACCCTATGGGCCAGAACCCTATGGGCCAGAACCCTATGGGCCAGAACCCTATGGGCCAGAACCCCATGGGCCAGAACCCCATGGGCCACAACCCTATGGGCCAGAACCCTATGGGCCAGAACCCTATATGGGCCAGTGGGCCAGAACCCTATATGGGCCAGAACCATATATGGGCCATAACCTAATATATGGGCCAGAACCCCACTTGTGCAACTTGAAGTCGTCATCTCCACTGCTCGCGCAACCATCACACCCTCCCACACGTCGTTTCTGGATGGGCTGGTGGGGATACGCGAAGCGTCGGCAATTTGTAGTGGATTTCATAACTTTTCGCAACTTTCTATAACTTTTATAACTTCTTACAGCTTTTCCTAACTGGCTTACAAATCCATCTACAAGAGTATAAAGCATGCGCATGCGTTACACTAAAAAATTATAATGTGTGCTTAGTGTGTTCTAATAGGCCCAACAAACATATAACAATATAGAATTTTCACGGGAATTATAAATCTTTATTTGAATTTGCTAACAAGTTGGCCGATGTATAACTGGTGGTGGGTTCGTTATAAGTTGACTTGAGTCGCTTATAAGCACTCTTAGAAAATGTTATAAATTGTTTATAAAGGCGCAAACCCCAAACTCACGAAGTACTCCTACTCCTACTCCTACTCCTCCTCCTCCTCCTCCTCTTCCTCCTCCTCCTCCTCCTCGCCTCCTCCTCCTTCTCCTCCTCCTCCGCCTCCTCCTCCTCGCTCCCCCCTCCCCCTCCCCCCCGTCCTCCTCCTCCTCCATCCTCCTCCACCATCCTCCTCGACTCCTCCTCCGTCTCCTCCTCCTCCTGCCTCCTCCTCCTCCTCATGCAATCCTCATCCCATCATCCCTCATCTCCCCCTATCCCCCTCCTCCTCCTCCTCCTCCTCACTCCCTCCCTCTCCTCCACTCCTCCTCCTCCTTCTCCCACCTCCTCCTCCTCCCTCCTGCCCCTTCCTCCTCGCTCCTGCGTCCTCCTCCAAACCCTCCGCCCCTCACCTCACCCCCATCCTCCTCCTCCTCCTCCTCCTCCTCCTCCTCCTCCTCGCGCACAAGAGGGAAGTCTTCACGGGATCTCGGGCAGGAAAAAGTACCGATACCGCTGCCCTTCCCTCGTTTTCGCCCTCGAGCCTCCAGGGGGGCCCCCCTCGCGACGGCCGGACTCGCCCCGAAAATCCTGCTCAGAACGCTCTCCGGGCGACGTCCGGGGGGTAGCGGCATCGGTGCGTATTGATTCCCCAAAAACCGATGCAAGTCGGCGAAGTCCTATGTAAAATCAGGTTAGTCAGGGTAGATACAGAGGTCTCCAGGGAAGTCAGGATAGAGAACTGTCGGAGGATCCAGCGCGAGTCACGGAAACGGACGAGTCGCTGCCCTTGGCGAAACCAGACGCCACTCCGTTGCGGATGGGTTTCTCGCACGCCGTCGCAAGATACAGCATGAGCAAAGTGGTGTATTTCTTTGCGCTGTTAGCGCAAATCTTTCTGAGCGTTAGGAGAGGCGGTCAGGAGTACCTTTGGGGGTCGCGGCGGTCGCGTTGTCGACAGGTCGCGGGGCGGTATTGGTATTGTTTGGTTCCCCCCAGGAGAGGGACGAGCAGTGGAAGGCGGAGAATTGCCGGTGCTGCCCGAGGTGCCGGAGGCCTACAGAGAAGATCGGTGGGTGCAACACGATGGTGCGGGGGGGAAGAATGATTGTCAATCCGGCCGGCCGTTGTTTCTAGGTTTTGGCCTTTTTGGCCAGTGCTCGGTCATTGGGACCGTCAAAGACAGATCCGGGACGAAACATTACCCCAGGAGTGTGTACGGTGTGGCTTTTTCAATCCCCGGCGTTTTTCCCGGATTTTCACCTCCGGGTCTCGTTTTCGGGCCCTGGGGCCATGAAAAACGAATCTGGGACGAGAGCCTACCTCAGAGGGAGGCGGTCGGGACATCTCAGGCCGCGGATTGAAAAGTAATTCGCGGATGTCGGGGAAAACTCGTCTGCACCCCGCCTACCCCCCCCCACCCGCTGGGGCTGGGCCAAAGAGCGTCGGCACCCGATGGCGAGGATGTCTCGCCAAAAGTGCAGGACAACGAATGCCCCACGCTCCCCAGGGAGGCCGGACGGGACGAAAGGGGGGGATTAGGAGGGGGAGGGGCACGAAATCTGCTGCATGCAGCTGGTTTCGGCCCCACTGAGGGGCCCATTCCTCGATACATGGGCGTCTCCGGCGCTGGGAGGCGCCGGGAAAATCAGCTGCGTGAGCTGAGTCTCAAACCCCCCCTTTGCTATCCCCCCCTTGTCGCCCGACCCGGGGAGGGGGGCCAGGCTGGTAGAGCTCCCGGGCAGCCAGGGCGATTCCCATATCGCCTCGCCTCGGTGCTCGAGAGGGCGCCGCGGCCGCCATGTCTTGCGGGCCTGCGCCCCCTGGGCTGTGCTTGCACGACAGGGCGTCCTGTTGATGGGGGCCATGTCCGCCCCTGGTACGCCGACGGCACCTACGCACCACCACCGTGCCATGGCGGGGGCCTCCAAGGGGCGGATACGCCGTGCAAGGGCCCGGGTGGCCTTGCATGGTGTCTCCGCCTCCCGGCCGAGGCCAGGAGGGTCTACAGCCGGCGCGGAGTAGTAGGTCGACCCTGCCAGCTCAAGGGTACCCTTGTGTCCTGTACCTCGCGGCACGTGCCTCCTCGCACTCCTGTGGCGATGAGGGGGACGTGCCCGACTCCAGCGCAGCCGCCGCCCTGCGGGCCCCGAGGTCTGCGGGCAGAACGCCCACGGCGGCAACCGGCAGCCCGGCTGCGGCCACCGCTTCCACTGGGGCGACGCGCGGCCCTACCGGGCCGCGGGGGCCCCCTCGAGGGCGCCGCGGGCGCCGGCGCACGCGCGGGCGGGTGCCATCAGCGGCCGCCGGGGCAAAGAGTTCGGGGGGAGAGGCTCGAGAGCTCGACCCAGACATGCTGGTGTCGTAAGGAGATCAGGACGGGAGGCTTTTTTGTTGCGGTTTTCGACCCCTAGAGGCCCTCGCCGGGCCCCGGGACCGTCAAAAAACGGCTCAGGATGAAAAACCGGTCCCGGGGAAAGGGTCTGGGCTTCTGGGGGCGCCGTCCTGGAAAAATCAGGACGTCGCATGTCTGAGAAGGTTTTCTGGCATGTTCGATGGTTCTGGGCAGCTGACCAGCCTCGAGGTGCCTTCCAGCGGCTGCGCCTCGCCGAGAGCGTCCCTGGGATGCCCGGAGCGTCCCGAACGGCCGCCACAGAGCTGAGCTATGACCCGGACACCAAGGGGCAACGTTAGGAGGGGGATAAGCTCAGGGAGGTATGCACCGACCCTCGATCACCTCATTCATCGCCGATAGGTGCCCGATCGCCCACCCCGCCCAAGACCCTGCGGTTTCGCTATCGGGGGCCGATCGCCGATCCATCGGCAATGCATCGCACATTCCAGGTCAATGTCCCCCCCTGAGCTGTTCCCCCCCTACATCTTTGCCCCTCAGGCCGAGGGGTACGGCACCTCTTCGCGCAGTGCGCCCTGTGCGACAGCGGGAAATGCATCACTGGGCCGCGGTTCCGCTGCGTCCACTGCCTCAACTTCAGCTGCTGCCTCAAGTGCGAGGAGCCACGCGTAGGGGGGTATGGGGTAGGGGGGAAGGTTTCTTAGGAGGAGGCCGCTTCTCGGAAGGCGCTAGCCTTGGCTGTAGATGTAGGGCCAGCGCCTTCCCAGAAGCCGCCTCCGTCTAATCGGGAGCGGAAAAGAGGGGGGTGATGACTAGGGGGGGTGGATCTCATGGCAGGGGGGCCATGATATTTGCCCAGATCTCAAGGCGCCTCTTCTTGTTTCATTACGTCCCTGGCCCCCCCGCTGGGCCGCGCACATGCCGCTGGTCATGATTTGCACCCCCCCCTCTTGGACACCCCCCTCTTGGCCGCTCCCGATCTAAGAAGCCTTCCCCTCCCCCCCTACCCCCTTGCGCGCGCCGCCAGGGGTGTCCTTGGCCCAGGTGCCCACAGGATTTCCACGGAGGCCGCCGCAGGCCCGAGGAGGCAGCCCTCGCGCGGTGCCGAGGGCACCAGGGGGGGGGGCCCACGCTGGAGCGCAGCGCTGGGGACGCGTCGGGCCAAGGACTCCCTCGGGACCCCCCCCCCCGGAAGGAGCGGCTCGCGACCGAGCACGAGGCCGGGCACGTGTTCGAGATCATGTTCGAGGACTCCACGACAAGTCACGGGCCATATAGGGTTTAGGAGCTCATCCCAACCAGCATCCAAGGGGGCAAAATTCAGACGGAAGGAAGTCAGTACCGTGGCCACCATAGGAGGTTGACGGCGGCTGAGGGCCGCCAAAGGCGAGGCCCGCCGAGGCCCGCCGAGGGCCGCCGAGGGCCGCCGAGACTACACGTAAGAGTGACCTTGTGTAGGAGTGACCTCTGGTGCGCGGTTTGGGGGGGCTGCGGGGGGGCCAACCACAAGCGCAAGCCGCTGCCATCGCATCGCGCTCGGCGATGGGGTGACCCCATGGGGCCCGCACCAAAGGTCACTCCGGCGACTTTTGGTGCGGGCCCAAGGGGGTCGCCCCATCGCCGAGCGCGATGCGATGGCAGCGGCCTGCGCTTGTGGCTTGTGCTTGGCCCCCGCGCTTGTGGCTTGTGCTTGGCACCAGAGGTCACTCCTGCCCAGAGGTCACCCCTGCGTGCAGTGGAGAGGACGAGTTCGACTGGACGGCGACGGGCGTGGAGCTGCCCAGCGGCACCCGGGCGCGCATCCGCGGCGGCGCGGCCCCCGCCGAGGGCGCCGAGGGCGGCGCCCCCGCGGGGCCCGGCGGCGGCTCCGCGCCGGGCGGGCCGCCGAGCGGCGGCCGCAAGCGGCAGCGCGACGTCGGCGCGGGCATGGAGGGCGTCGTCAAGGGCCGCAAGCGCGGCAGGTGCGGCCACGCGTAAGGGAGGATGGCGATGAATAGATGACCGGGGGTCGTGTTCACGCGGCGGCGCCCAAGATGACGATGAGATACAAACCGGCCGCGGGCTGGAGAACTATTTGTTGAATCGTTCTCCTCCAGTCAGAAAATGGTGCAGAACTCGCAGAAAACTATTTGTTTAATCGTTCTCTCCCATTTTTTTAGTAATCGTCATCCCGCATTAAGGTCGGGCTCCCGCAAAGGGGGGGGGGTGCCCCGAGAGGGGGGGGAGGGAGTTCGGTCGGCTTTCGCACCGAGCCGCCCGAAACAGGTGCCCCCCCAGCCGCAGGCAGCTCCCGATAGTTGCCGACGCGTGGGGCATGCCGGGGGCATCTGGTTGTGGCAGTTCGGTGCACCAACGGATCGAATTCATGTCCCCCCTCAAGGTCACCCCCCCTTTGGTGGATCCCGATACGAGTGACCTCTCGCCGGAGTGACCTCTGGTGCGGGCTCACAGGCGTGGCCCCGGCACTGGCCCGCGCGCTTGGATGTGGGCCCGCCGCGGTCCCCCGGAAGCCGCGCACCCAAGGTCACGCTCGCCCGGGGTCACTCTTTGCGTGTAGTCGACAGGTACGTGCTGGAGCTCGCCGGCGGCATGGGCACCAGGCCATATGGTCGGGCTGGACGAAAGGGGGGGATAGGGAAAAGGCGGGGGGGGGGGTACGAGATCTGCTGCATGCGGCTGGTTCCGGCCCCACCGAGGGGCCTGCAGTCCTCGGCACATGGCCGCCTCCCAGCGCCGGGAGGCGCCGGGAAAATCAGCTACGTGAGCTTAGTCTCAAGCCCCCCCCCCTTTCTCTGGACGCCCGAAATGGGTACGGAAAGAATGGGTACGATGCCCAACAGCGGTTCCTGTTCATTTTGAACAGGACTCGCTGTCGGTGTCGCCGCCCGCGGCCTGTGTACATTTGAGACAGGAGGCCGCCTGCCCAACAGCGGCCGCTGTTGGTTTGGGACAACATTTGTTGTTGGGCATCGTACCCATTTTTTCAGTACCCATGTCGGGCGTCCGAACTTTCGCCCGGCCCGACAGGGGAGGAGGAAGTGCCGAGACGCGCCGCTCGGCCTGGCGAGCCCTCGTCGCCACGGCCGGGATGTCGGAATGCGCCCCATGGAGAGGTCAGGGGAGCGCCGTGCGGGTACACGTTGTTCAGGAGGGAAAGAAACACACAGACACAAGTAATTGGCGATTCACCAGAAAATATGAGAAAATATGGGAAGTGGGGGGAAGACAAAAACCCAGAAAATATGGGAAAATATGGGCAATCTGTTGATTTGTGTGTATTTGTTTTTGTGTTCTGGGGCCCCTTCAGTTGTTCATTTCTAAGTATTCGAGGGTTCTTTGATTTTTTGTTTGGGGGGCAAGATCCTTTCATGTCTACTTGTTCTGTCCTGGGCCTCTTCCTGGCCACTCGGGGGCCAGGAACAATCAGAAACGAGCACAATTAGAAATGAATCGGGGGTGGACAGACCTCCTACCCTGACACGTCGATTCAGGAATTGGCCGTTTTCGGTTCGCGAGAGGGCGTCGCGGCCGTCATTCTTGCGGGTCCAGGTCCGTCGGTTTCGGTCCCAGGCCGTTTTCACTAAGGGGAGGTTTACTGAAGGGAGGTTTGTCCACCGCCGAATGAACACAACTAAAAAAGAACGACGTGTAGTCCTCTTGTTCTCCCACACCCAGGCACGTGGAGCCCAGGGACCTGCAGCCGCTGCTCACTCAGCGACAGGCACGGAGGGGCGGCGGGGAGGGCAGTCGCGGGGGCAGCCAGCAGCGGGCGGGAGGAACTGGGAGAAGAGGTGTCAAGCATTGGCGAAGCGTCCTGGCTCGCCTATAGCCTTACCAAAGAATGTTCTAAGTACCTTTTGTGGTCTGCACGGAATGTTCTTAGAACAATTCTGTTCGGAACTGTTTTGTTTTAACACGATCGTTCATGTTCTAGGAATATCGTTTGTGTTATTGGAACATGTTGGGGTTCTACGAACATTTCGTGGTAGGACTATAGGAATGCTGGAACGGTCGGTCCCTGCTCAAGAGGTGAGGGGAGCCGTGGCGGAAGGGTGATCGACACAGCAAGGGACTGGCCGGGTGGCTGACGCGCGGGCCGTCCAGTCCTGCGGGGAGGAGAGGGTTGACCTCCTCCGCCCAGCCCTCCATCCATCTCCCCCTTCTCGTCCTCCTCCTCGTCGGCTTCGTACCTTGGGTATCTTCCTTCGCCCTCATTTCCCCATGCCAATTTCTCTCTTCGCCATGATCCCGTCCTTCCATCGCCTTGTCGAGCTTCCCACAGCTCAAGACGGTCTCAGGGGTCTCCCCGATCGCCTCAAGACGTTCCATGGGACGTCGTGAGGGGCTTCGTGCACGAAGGCCCCTAGATGGTCCCAAAACGGCTGAGCACGGCCCCGAGAGACCCCCAAGAGGGGGCCACGAGGCTCTCAAGAGGGGTCGTCCTCGCGAGTCAGGCTCCCAGCACGTCGCCAATCCCTCTGTGGAGACCCCAGGAGGCCCCCAACAGCCCCCCGCGAGAGCCCCCCCGGGAGCAGTGGAGGCTGCAGCGCGCGTGACTCGACTTCGGGCCCCGTGCTGGTCCTCTGCAGGCTCTCACGGCGGCCTCCCAGGGGGTGGGGGTGGGTCTTCGCCCTCTGACGCCAGGAGGAGGAGGAGGAGGAGGAGGAGGAGGAGGAGGAGGAGGAGGAGGAGGAGGAGGGGGAGGAGGAGGAGGAGGAGGAGGAGAAGGAGGAGGAGGAGGAGGAGGAGCCAGCAGGGGGCCCTCCTGGATCCTGCGCCTCTCCGCCCCGCCGCTCCCCCTGGACGGGCTCCTCCGGGAGCGCCCCTGCGGGGCCGGCGGCGTCGCCGCCGTGGCGGCTGATGACGCAGGCGGACGTAGGTCAAGCAGTACCAAACAATGTTCTAAGAACCTTTTGTGGTTCCCACGAGATGTTCTTAGAACATTTCTGTCTGGGACTGTCCTGTTCTAACACATCGGATTTATGTTCTAAGAACATTGTTGTTGTTCTTAAAACATTTTTGGGTTCTAAGAACATTTCGTGGTATGACTATAGGAAAGCCGGGACGGTCGGTCCCTGCTCAAGTAGGGGCGTCCGTGCCGTTCCCTCTCTTCCGTCCTCCCCTTGCCCACCGGTCGCGGAAAGCAGGTGTTCTTGGACCCGCGCATTCCAAATCTACGTTGAGCGCCTTCTTGCTTCAATGATCGAGGGGCTTCACCGTTTCCGTCCTCCCAGGGTGGCGGGCGGACCCCAGTATATTTTCAACGCTTTCCTACTTCATGCTTCTACCTACTTCTTCCGACCGATGGGTAACTATCGTGTCTCCTCCCCATACATCCCTTGTCCCCCGCTTCCCCATCACTGCCTCCCCCTCTTCCAGTTGTGCTTGGACCAGTGGCATGCGTCAGCGAGGGAGAGGGGAGGGGGAAGAGAAGAGGACGAATCCCATGGGGAGCATGAGCATTGGAAAGATTGGGGAGAGGATAATCATGATGATGATGAGGAGGAGGAGGAGGGCAAGGAGGAATGATACCATTGAAACTACGAGGTGGAGCGTAGGCATAAGATGAGTACGATGCAGCTGCCTTAGACTAAAACCTGAACGCGCGCGAAGCGCGCGGTTTCTGACACGGATGATTCGGGTGCCCGCATGTTGTGCGGTGTGCGCGGTCCCATCATCCAGTTCAAAAGCACATGCAAAGTGCTCCCACAGTCTTCGCATCCAACGGCAGCCCCTGCCAATGCCGAGGCTCAGGCGATGCTTCTGCGGTGCGAGGGCGTGTGGGAGCGAGCGAGACCGGGCCGTCCTTGGGGGGGTAGCTTGACCCTCTCCCCACACTCACCGCCACCTCTCTTCCTCCCCCCTCCCCCTCCCTCTGCGCTCCCTTCCACCCCCCTCCCTCTCCCTCTGCGCTCCCCCCTCCCTCTCCCTCTCCCTCCCTCCCCCCTCCCCCCCCCCTCCCTCTGCGCTCCCTCCTTCCCTCTCTTCCTCCCCCCCCCTCCCTCTCCCACCCTCACCGCCACCTCTCTTCCTCCCCCCCCCCGCCCTCTGCGCTCCCCCTCCCGCCCCGCCCCCCGCGCCGCCCCTCCGCCCGCCCCCCCGCTCCGCCCGCCCCCCCGCTCTACCCTCTTTGCCCCCTCGCGGCCGACCGGGCATCCGACAACATAGTTTTTCAGTCCGCGGCCCCAGAGGCCCCGACCTTCCTCCCCCAAAACGATAGTGTTAGGTATTGAGGATTGTCCTTAGACAGTCAAACGAATTGGAGTGTTGATATCCAAAGAACAATCCAGAAAGCAATCAAGAAGTCATTTCGGGGCACGCGGGGCCGGCAACCCAGGCAGAGCCCGATTGAAGATATGTCACATCGTCCGAGATCTGGGCCCCCCATCCCGCTCTCTCCACGCCCTCGCGGTCCTCGCGTTCCTTTCGTTGCCCCTCGGCCAGGCCGGGGGATCGGAGCAGATCGCTCCAGAGCGCGCCGACCGCTCTGGAGCGGCCGCGACGCCCTGTGCATCGTCCAGAGCCGCCGGTTCTCCGAGATCCCCGATCTGTCCCGCCCCTGGCTTGGTGAGGCTGCGGGCTGCGCAGACACAGCCCCTCGAGCTAGTCTGGGCTGGCCTCAGCAGGTCCCCCGAGCAGTCCCAGCTGACCTCCGCAGGAGGAGGAGGAGGAGGAGCCAGAGTGGCCCAGGGCGGCCTCAACACTTCAGGGGGGCACGTTGCTGAAGCCAGGCGGGGCTACCCTGGGGGGGCTGCCTGTGCGCAGCTCGAAGCCTTACCATCCTGGCGCCGTCCTACCCCCTATCGTGCAGAACTGACGCTTCGGTGGCCTGCCGGCTCTCATGGTTGTCGCGGCAGCGCGATGTGTTTCGCAATGCCATCTGATGTGTGAGTTGTGGGAGGCTTGTCGATAGCCTCGCTGCTTGCTGGGGACTGGATTTCATGGCGTCGTTTTATCCCGCCCCCCGCTGCACAGGGGGAGCTCCTCCTCCTCCTCCTCCTCCTCCTCCTCCTCCTCCTCCTCCACCTCTTCCTCCTCCCCGTCCTCCTCCATCCCTCTTCCTGATACAGTAACTCCTCCCTGTCGCACCCCGACACGGGTCGGTAGGGCGGGCCAGGCGTTTCGTTTGAGACTTCCTTGCCATTATGATCTTGAAGCGAGGTTTTCCTTGCAAAATGTGATAATCGCCTTAGCGCCGCGCACATTCGCCATAACAGTTTGCCAGAGCTTCACGGATGGAGGGCGGGCCGTTTTCAAAATGAGGTTCTCGCTTGAGCACCGCGCACATCCGTTTTAAAGTTTGCAAAGTTTTATTGATGGAGGGCGGTTTCATTTCAACATGTGGTTGTGGCCTTAGCGCCGCACGCATTCGTCTTAAAGGTTTGCAAGGGTTTCAATGATTCTTATGTTTGACGTCCCAGCAATGGTGTTTTGACACCGTCAAGGATTGTCAAGGCGCGACAGTCACGTTGATTCGCGGTGTTGGACTCCCAGACGTTGAGTTCTGGCACGATTGAGGACCGTCAGGCCGCCACAGTGACGTTGATTCGCGGTGGCTCAAGCCACCCCGGCTCAAGCCACGGCTCCAGGTGCCAGCCGCCCACCGCCGCGGGCGCCCGCATGGCGCAATGCCTCGGAGCGACGGCGCTGGCCGAGGTGGTCGCGGCGGCCGTGGGGCGCAGCGGCTGCGGCGGCGGCGGAGGCGGCGGCGCCCTGCCGCCCTGCGCTGCCGCCGCCGCCGCCGAGCGGATGGGCCGCGCAGCCGCCCGTGCTGACGCCGCCGCGGCCGCGGCCCCCGCAGCGTCCGAGGGCGGCCTTGCCCGAGCCCCGGCCGCCGGCTCTGCAGCTGCTGGCCCTCGCCCCTGCGGGAAGGCGCGGCGTCTCCGAGGGCTGCGGCGGGCGGCCAGGCGGCCAGCGGCGCTGCAGCAGGCGCCGACGAAGGAGATGAAGGAAGAAGAGGCGAAGAGGCGCAGGAAGCCATGAGGGCTCAGCACTCCCCCCTGGCGGACACCGAAGACCGCGCCGAGGCCCCCTTCGGCTGGGACGCCGAGCGGCCTTGGTGGGAGGACTTGCTCAAGCCTCCCGGGAGTGCCACCGCCTGGAGCTCTGCGGGCTGCACTGCCGTGCCAGGGCTCCGGGCTCCCGAGAGCACAACTGAGAAGCTTCGCGTCGCCGATCTCTTAGCGCGAGAGGTGCAAGAGGCGGCGGTCCACTGTTCTGTGGGCGAGTCGGACAGCTCTGGAGGTCACGATCGCACGCTTCTCTTTGAGCTCAATTTGCAGGAGCTGAATATTGGCTCTGTCCTTGATGCCGATATTGATACGTGGACGTGTATGGTTAGCGGGCCCTGCACCATCACGAGGCTTCCTTATCGTAGCGACGGCTCCGGAACACAGAGTGGATGCTGCACGCGGGACGTGAATGATTCGGATGTTGGCTACGACCCGGCGGCGGGGCTCGAGTCGGACTCAGAACGAGTCCCTTTGGAGTACGACGTGGGCCGCGTCGAGCTCGAGCAGGGCGGCTTCTCGACAGATGCCGGCTACGGGCCCGACCAGAACGACGCGACGGCCCCCAGCAGAGCCTGCACGGCGAATCGAAACAGGAACAGAACGGCGAGTATAGCCAGCTGGACCGGAACGGAGGCGCAAAGCAGGTCCAGACCTGCGAGTCCAGCCAGCAGAGCCCGAACGGCGGCTCCGAGCAGGCCCAGAACGGCTGCTCCAGCGAGCAGCAGGACCCGGACGGCGGTTCCAAGCAGGACCAGCACGGCGGCGCCAAGCAGGACAGAACGACGGCTCCGAGCAGACCGCGCACGGCGGCTCCAAGCAGAACCAAACCGGCGACTCCAAGCTGGACCAGCGCGGCGACTGCGGTGAGAGGAAGCCGTTGTGCTCAGACTGTTCCGGCGGGCGCTCCCTGGAACATCATGGAGGCACGTTCTGTTTCCCAGGTTCTCAGCAGGACCAGAGTGGAGGCTCCAAGCAGGACCCGAGCGGCGGCCCCCAGCAGGTCCAAGCAGGCGGGTCCAGTGAGCGGGACCCGCGCGCCGGCTCCTGGGCCAGCACGGCAGCTTCAAGCTCGTCACCTTCACCGCGGTGCGCGCGCGGGCCCTGCGGAGTACATGTCTGTGCTGTTCCAATCTGGACGCCCGACATGGGCACGGAAAGAATGGGTACACTGCCCAACAGCAGTTCCTGTTCATTTTGAACAGGGTTCGCTGTCCACGCCGCCGCGGCTTGTGTTCATTTGAGACAGAAGGCCGCCTGCCCAACAGCGGCTGCTGATGGTTCGGGACAACATTTGCTGTTGGGCATTGTGCCAATTCTTTCCGTACCCATCTCGGGCGTCCAAATCCAAGTGCGCAAGTGGTACGACGTTGGCCAGCTCAGCATGCAGGAGACCGTCCCGAAGCTGGAACATGAGGCCAAGCGCCTTCAGGCGCGGGGGGTGGCCCGCAGAGATCTCGCGCGCGTTGCTCGAGGCGCCGCGCACGCAGCTGCTGCATGCAAGATGAAAGCGCTCATCGCCTCCTCGGGCACAGCGCAGCGCGCTTCCTCTTCATCCGGTTCTGCCTGTGCTACTACATCCTTCTGACTTCTGGCCTCGTGCATGTTTTTTTTGGGCACTCGGCCGTGGCCCTACCAGCAAAGGGGGGCCGCAACCATGGTGGTGGCCGAAGCAAGTCGAGCGAGGGCTCATTCTGCATCTCATTCGCAACGTCCTCGTTGTAACGGCGCCGGGTGTCGCATCGAGGCCAGGACCTCTTCACTGCAGGCTGGAGTGTGTGGCGGGGGCGCTGCGGTCTCCTTCTGGGCACCGCCGCCAGCGGCGCGGCTCGCAACGGGTGCAGGCGCCCACGTATTCATGCACGTGCTTCTGCTTGGGGGCCTGGCTCTGGCCATTTCTGTTCCGTCGATGGCCTGCCCCTTTGCTGAGGTGGAGGCGCTGCAGAGGCTCGGCGGCGGCGACTGGCTTGGCGCTCTATTCTTACGCGATTATTAGTTGTCTCTGTTGGAGCTCCTCATCACATAATGTGTTCGGTATTGGGCCTTTTCCTATTGGTTTCTAACTTTGATGGATATTCGTGCAGACGCATGTTCTTGGCCATGGCTTGTAGCGCAAAGCTACTCCATGTTCGGTCGCTGGTAGAGCTGGGGGCGCCGGTGACCATTGACGGATACTCGTGGGGCTCATGATCGTTATGTTATTCTCTCTCGGCCTCGTGCTGGGGGTCCTCATTTTCGATCATCGCGTTCCTCGTTCGGCGCAGACTGATTAGGGTTCACGGACGGATACTCTTGAGGTTCATGGTCGCTATGCTTCTCTGCTACTCTGGTACGGTTGAGGTCCTCTTCGGGGTGCTGGTGGGCGCCAATCAGTTCCTGGTCTGGCTGTCCTGGTCGAGTGCCTCATCGATGGTGCTGTCGCTTTCGCCCACTACCCGTGCGGGGTGGCGGACTCTCAGACTATAGTTGGGAGGCGGTCTGGCCCCGGGGTGCAAAACAATGACGCTGTTTCGCGGCGCTGAAGTCCCAAGAATGGACACTTGGTGCGGTTGGAGATTCATGGCGGTTGTCGTCTGACGGGGCTCTTCCCGCAGTAAACATTGATCATTACTGAAGCTTGCAAAGAAGGAACTCGGAGGAAGGGCTCATTAATTGCAACATCGCTGGCGAATCGTGGGTTTATTCTGGTCGTCCTCCTCCCTCTCCTCCTCCTCCTCCTCCTCCTCCTCCTCCTCCTCCTCCTCCTCCTCCTCCTCCTCCTCCTCCTCCTTCTCCCCTTCCTCCTCCTCCTCCTCCTCCTCCTCCTCCTCCTCCTCCTCCTCCTCCTCCTCCTCCTCCTCCTCCTCCTCCTCCTCCTCCTCCTCCTCCTCCTCCTCCTCCTCCCTCCTCCTCCTCCTCCCTCCTCCTCCTCCGCAGCCTTGCCCTGGCGCCCCCCGCCCGTCCGCCCGCCCCCTCCAGGCGGAACGGCTGCTGGCCGCCGTCTCGGCGAGGCCGGCCGCGGAGGGCGCCGCCGCCGCCGCGGGCAGGTGACCACGCGGGGGGGCTCAGTAGGCCTCCCGCCTTCTTCGGGCGGGCGGCAATCGGGAGTGACATAAATGGGGGGTGCAGAAAAGGGCCCTAAAGGCCACCGTTAGGGCCCCTCTGCTTCACCCCCAGTGTGGGCCACCCCTCATCAGCACTCGCCCGATCCGGAAAGCTCTCTGGTCCTTCTCCGAAGCTCCCCCGCCTTCTGAGAAGGCTTCCGGGGAACGGACAATGCCATAAACATACAAACTCGGAGGTCCCCGCGGATTTTTAAGATCGGCGTTAGAGCCCCCTGGCGGCGCCTCCGGCACCGCCCCGGGCGCGCTCCGCGCGCCAGGGCGGGGGGTCCAACGCCGACCCGAAAAATCCGCGCGAACCTCTGAGTTTTTGATGTTTATGCCATTGTTTGTTTCCCTAGGCTTGCCCCCTCTCGCTTCCCCCCTCGGCGCGCCGCAAGTGTTGGCCATGCCGAGGGGCCACGCCCGACGCGTGCGCACCTCAGGCCAGGCACCGAAGCCCCTGGGGGGAAGCGGTGGTCGCGCCTCGCGGATGCGGCCACCGCCGCTGCAGCAGGAGGGGTCCGGTCGGGCGAAGGTGCGGGCTGCGTCGACCCGGGCAGGGCTCGAGCGGAAAGGTGCGTCCGGCGATCTCGTGGGCCCCCCCCTTTCGTCTGGAGTCCGTTGTTCAACAGGGGCGGAGCGAAGGCAGAGCGAGGGCAAACGAAAGCGTAAAAAGCGCCGCCCAGGCTGAGGCCCGGATCTGGGCCTCAGGGGCGCCCTTGCCGAAGGCGGCGTGGGGGCGCTTGGGGCAGCCGCGCGTCGCGCACCGCGAAGTCCGCGGCCTCGACTGATGGCCCTGGCGTCTTCGTCGTCGTCCTCGCCCCCCCTCCTGGCTCTGGCTTCAGCCCCCCTGGCCATGGCCCCAGCTTCCCCTCGCCCCCCCCCTGGGCTCTGGCCCCCTTGGGCCTGGCCTCAGCCCCCCTCGCCTCGCCCCGTGCTCTGGCCCCCTTGGCCCTGGCCTCAGCCCCCCTCGCCCCGGACCCTTTATTTTCGTCGGCGGCCGCGTCAAGAGCGGCCCAGGGCTCGGAAGCCCAGAGCTGGGCACCGACATCAGCAGCGACGGGTTGCCTCCGCAGAGGGAGCTTGATGCCGATCTCTGTGCAGGTCGTAGGATTCGAGTTTCTCAGGTGGTCGAAAGATTACAGCATTTTCTTCATTTGAAAATGTAGTGTCTTTGTTTGTTATACGTACTCATATATATATATATATATATATATATATATATTAGAGTATAAAAATCAGTGGCACCAAAGTCTGAGATCAGTTTCCCCTGGTGGAGACACCTCCCCATGTTGGTGTTGGTGCCAACGTGCAGACCTCCAACAGGAGGCTCACGGAGGCCACAGGGGGGGGATCGGGGAGCGGGGGGGGGTGAGCTGCACCGAAGGGATCGTACGAGGCAGCTGCCGAACTGGCGGGCTGGGAAGCGCACAGCTGGGGGGAACGTTGACGCGGATCCTGGACGCTCGCCCGACCGCGCTGCGGATGCCGTCGAGGGCGAGGGGTGGGTGGGAGGGGAGGGGGCCTCTCACAACGGGTCAGGAGGAGGAGGGAGGAGAAGGGAGGAGGAGGAGGAGGAGGAGGAGGAGGAGGAGGAAGATGAGGAGGAGGAGGAAGAGGAGGAGGAGGAGGAGGAGGAGGAGGAGTTCAGGCAGACCTAGGAGGATGGGCGGGGACAGATCGCCCCAGAGCGCTCCGGAACGCGGCCTGAGCGTTCCCGGGCGCCTCTCACAACGGGTCAGGATGGATTTCGGGAGGGCTCGGGAGACCGATGTTGATGGGCTTTGGGCCGGGCGGGCGGGGAGCGGGACGAAGGGGGGGACTGGGCAAGGAGGGGATCCCGTAATCTGCCGTGTGCAGCTGGCTTCGGCCCCGCCGCCGGGCGCTTTACTCGCTGCACTGGCGCAGGGAGGCGCCGGGAAAGACAGCCACAGGAGCCGGGTCGCTGACCCCCCTGTAGGATCCCCCCCTTCGGCAGCCACGCCGTCCTGCCTCCGTGCCTCCGTCGCGCTCGGCCCGGCCCACCGCGCGGCCCCAGGGGGCGCTTCTCGGGCCGGACGAAGAGGAGAGGCGATAAGGTGGCGACACGGGAGCCCTCGAGGAGGAGGAGGGAGGAGGAGGAGGACGAGGAGGAAGATGAGGAGGAGGAGGAGGAGGAGGAGGAGGAGGAGGAGGAGGAGGAGGAGGAGTTCAGGCAGACCTAGGAGGATGGGCGGGGACAGATCGCTCCAGAGCGCTCTGGAGCGCGGCCGGAGCGTTCCCGGGCGCTCTGGGATGGCCGCGGCTTTCGATGCGTCCTCAAGGCCCGCGGGCTCTCAAGATTGCGGGCTGATGCTCATCAGGTTTGTTGGCCGGCTGCGCTTCACGCAGTGTGGTTTTCAGCCAGAGTCATGGCGAGATTGGCATGGCCCCTTCTGGCGCCGACAGATTCCATTCTCATTCGAGGGAGACGAACCTGCATAAACATTAGCTTTTGGAGGTCCGCGCGGACCTCCGTACAAGTATGGTTTGTTTGTGCCCATCTATTTCTTTTCCTGTTCACGGGGACTTGAAGTGGAGTCGGAGGAGGTCAACGAGAGAGGACAGGAGCGCAGTTTGGGATGCTATAGTGTTTCCGCATGCGGCTCCCGCCTGCCGCTGGTCAGTTCATCCCGCACGGATCCACCCATTCATCTTGTTGTTGTTGCCCATTCTGTACTATCTTCATTCGCGCGTCAAGCTTGTGGAACCGTGTGATCCTAGAGAGTCTCCAGGTGCGGGGATAACCGCCTGGAAGTAGTACAAGGCAGGCGCCCCCAGCAGAATACGAGGGAGAAGAGCGTTAAGTTCTTGTCCTCGCCCTGGTCTTAATAACTGGAGCCAAGAAAGCGTCGAGGTGTCATCGCGCGCGTCTTCGGTGTAGGATCGTGTGCGTTCGCTCACGCTATATGTGTTTCACACTGCCATGTTTCACAGCGCACAGCCTCAGACCAGTGTGTACAGACGGAGCGAGGCACACCACCTGAGGGCGCGCAAGCTCGGCCAGAGGGCGCGCAAGCTCGGTTTGCAGTAGGCTAGGCCGTGCCATGCCATGGAGCTGCCGCGCGTTCTCCGCCACAGGGCCGCCCGAGGCAGGGGCCCAGCTGCTCCCGAGGCCGTGGCACAATCGCATCGTCCGGCGACGGCTTTAGGGCTGGCAGCGCGCCGGCCCGCATCCAGGACGGCGAGAGCCCCTCCTCCTCCTCCTTCTCCTCCTCCTCCTCCTCCTCCTCCTCCTCCTCGTCCCCCTCCCCCTCCCTCCCTCCTCCTCCTCCTCCTCCTCCTCCTCCTTCCCTCCTCCTCCTCCTCCTCCTCCTCCTCCTCCTCCTCCTCCTCCTCCTCTCTCCTCCTCCTCCTCTCCTCCTCCTCCTCCTCCTCCTCCTCCTCCTCCTCCTCCTCCTCCTCCTCCTCCTCCCCCTCCCCCTTTCCCCTCCCCCTCCCCCTCTGCCTCCTCCTCCTCCTCCTCCTCCTCCTCCTCCTCCTCCCGGGCAACACATTGGACGAGGGCAGCATTCGGCCCGCAGCCGCCCTGGCACGAGGAGCTGCGCGTGGGCGCGGTGAAAGTGCGTTGCGTTGCGAGCCCGTCGCAAGCCCAGGGAGCGTCGCAGCGCCTTGCTTGAACTTCCAGGTGCGCGTGCCGCGTGCTGGAAGCCTCTTTTTTTCCGCCGCTCCTCTTCACGGCTTCAACCATGTTGGGACACAAGTTCCAAATCAGCAAAGACACGAACCACTTCCACAAAAGATGCATACAGATCCAGATGTTCATACACAGTTGCGTACGCCACTCCCTTTTGCAGCGAAGGTCCAACAGTTCCCCATTGCCGACGGACCATTCCCAAAGATACGCTTTTGCGCACTCGAGGGTGGAATCCACGCGAATGTCCCCGCATAAGCG